TTTTTGTCTTTAGAATCTAGAGTACGATCAGAGAACGTAGTTGGTATTTGCAATTCTGAACATGCCTTCTTTCCCTTACTATGATGTTCCCGTCCATCCATTTTCCTAGAGATAACATAATTCTGTTCGTAATGTATTAACATTCCATTGAAGCCGGGCGTTGGTGGCGCATGCCTTTAATTCCAACACTCGGGAGGCAGAGGCAGGCGGATCTCTGTGAGTTCGAGGCCAGCCTGGTCTACAGAGTGAGTTCCAGGACAGCCTCCAAAACAATACAGAGAAACCCTGTCTCGAAAAAACAAAAACAAAAAAACAAAAAAAATTCCATTGAGCATACATGAGCATACATGTCTTTACCCATTTACCCACTGACTGGCACCTACACAGATCCCTTAACCTGGTGACTTCGAAGGCACTGCAATGAAGTGCGATGACTTCAGTAATGTTGATTCTGCTTTCCTCAGGTGTACTCCTACGAGTGGCACAGCAGGATCACAGTCCTATTCTTAGTTTCTTGAGGATTTAAGACACTGTGATGCCCAAATAGTGTCAACTTCACTACATCTGGTATTAACTAAAACGCAAGCAGCTGGGCACACCTGTGAGGAATTTTTCTAAATTAAATCATTTGAAGTGGGAAGACCCACCTTTAATCAGGGCCACACCTTCTGGTGGCAGCCTATAGAAAGGACATGGGAGAAGGAAGCTTTTGCTCTGCCTGCTTGCCCCGGCTGGCAAGTTCATTCCCTCACTGGCATTACAGCCTGCTTCTTCAGGATTCTGGTGCATATGAAGACCAGCTGAGACATCTAGCTTCCAGGATTAAACAACTACTGGATTCTTGAACTTTCTGTTGGTAGACAGTCATTGTTGGACTAGTTGGACCACACCTGTAAGCCACCTTAACACACACATAGTCTCTCGGTTCTGTTTCCTGAGAACCATAACACACGCACTCATTTCCAGATACTCTCTACAGTAGCTGAACTACTTTATATTTCAATCTATATTTAGGAGCTACTCCCATCCTCAACGGCATTCTCTATCTTCTTTTTTTCTGGTTTTTCGAGACAGGGTTTCTCTGTGTAACAGCTGTCCTGGAACCCACTTTATAGACCAGGCTGGTTTCTGCCAGCCTCTGTCTCCCAAGTGCTGGGTTTAAAGCTGCACACCACCATTCTCTATTTTCTTAATAACAGCTATTCTGACTGGAATGAGAATTACAGTATAGTTTTGATTTGCATTTTACTGCTAGCTCAGTATGTTATTTTTTATGCATCTACAGGCCATTTGTAATCTTCTGAGAACTATTTATTGCTTAGGTTATTTTGGCTTTTGAGTTCTTTCTACATTCTGAATATTAACCCCATCAGATGAAAAGCTGGCTAAACCTGCAGATTTTTATACCAGCCTTTTCTGAGCCAGTTGAATGAGTTGGTTCTTGAGAGATTCCAGGCACAGTATTTAAATCAGTCAAACTAAGTAGCTCTACTAGGGAAACCAATGCTTTCCCATGGGTGTGTGTGTAGATAGGGTTTCTTTGTATAGCCCTGGCTATCCTGGAACCCTCTCTATAGGCTGGCTCAAACTCAGAGATCCTGCCTCTGCCTTCCTGGTGCTGGAATTAAAGACATGCACCATCACAGCAGGCCCAGGGTTTCCAAGTTTTACCTTGTGTCTAACAAACGCTTCCCTCTCAGGCCACTGAAACCCACTGTACTCTGGAAGGGTAAAAGCAGAGGCAGCTCCAAATATAGCAGCCACTCTGCATTAATAAGGGAGCAAAGGAGCTTGGAGAATGACACTCGGGCTGCTCGTGGTGCCTGCTTCTGTCAACATGAGGAGGCAGAACTGCTACACAGACATTCTGTCTTCCTCAAGCACTTCTTTCCCAAGATTATGACAAAATTGAGCCAGCTGGACTCAGACTGCCTCGCTCTTCCCAAAATTTCCAGCGTTTTGGAAGTGAGACTATAAATGAGTATGAATGAGAATGGATTTCTTCTGGTCTCTGATGCACTCTTTCCATAGCATTCCCTGCCCATTTAGAAGGCACAAAGGCAGTTGGGCAGTGCTTAGAAAGGTAATCTGTCTGAAGTTACTCGAAAGCTGAAATGTTCAGAAATGCAACCACAATGAGCCATTGGACTTGACAATGCCAAGCAAATGTCAGACTAGGATCTTTGAAGGCTCCAAATCTGCTCCTTTTCTCTACTAACAATATACCATGAACTTAAATAACAAAAGCCTAATTTCAATGAGGCTTTCAGGTCTAAAAAGGAACAAAATTGTATATTGGACTCCTAGGAAGAAAACAAAGTAAACAGGAATTTTAGAGAACAGAGGATTCTCCAGCTCAGGCTAAATCAAGGAAAATGTCAGGAGAAGGTTCCTGCAAATTACCTAATGTGAGATCTCAACTAGGTGATGACAGTCTAGGCTGAAGTACTTCACCGGGAAAGTCTCGGGCCGTCTAGAGAAAGCAAGTCTGCCCTAACTTTTTTCTTAAAGTGAAGAGACAGATGGACAAGCAGAAGCTCCACACGCCTGGGCAACTGTGGTCAGAGGATAACTCCCTTTTGTCAGCAAAAACATTGGTATTTGTGAAGAGCCCAGATGCATCCAATTTAAAAATACTAAGGTCAGAACACCCAGTCCAAAGACAACTCTATCTTTAAAAAAGATTCAAGTTGTGCTGATGCTGGCCTATTTACTGTTGCATATGTAAGAAATAAGGTGTGCTGGTCAGTTATTTGTCAACTTGACACAAACTAGGGTCCTGGGGAATAAGACAAGAAGGGAAAATGTCTCCTTTGGACTGGCCTGTGGGAAGCATGTGCAGCATTTTCTTGAAGAATGTGGGAGGACCGAGGGTCTAAGCCGCTTGGATGCACCACCTCTGGGCAGGTGTCCTGACAGCACCCTGTAGCCTCTGCTTGCGTTCTTGTCTTGACTTAAACTTCCCCAAGCTGCTTTTCGTGGTGCTTATCACAGCAATAAAAAGCAAACTAAAGCATAAGGGAATTAAGAAAACAAAAAACTCTTCCTAAAATGTGAATACAAGCTGTTTTGGCTCAGAAGGTGCACTGGATTACTTTTCTCAAACCCACCAGTTAAGATTTCAACAAATATTGACTAAAGAAACCACATCTGCACACCCAGAAAGTGGGTTCCCGACAAATGATGACAACCGATGCATGCTTAGCCTGAGTAAAAACAATTTCCTCCACCCAGGGGAAATTTTCCTTTTCTTAAAAAACAAACAAAAACAAAAAACCCACAAACTCAGTTGTTATCATTATGGGGTAGAATCCATAGGTCAGCAATTTCTTTTTTATTCAACATTAGGGAGAAAATCCACTCTACATCACTTCTGAGCTCCAGTTAAAACTGTTTCCAAAAATTCCTTTGTGAGATCCGCAAGGGTTTCACAATCTGGACTTTCCCGCCGAAACGCTCAGTACTACTGGCCGTGCCGAGTCCAACAGCACTATCTGCAGCCTGCACATGCCCTCCTCTCCGAGGACATTACCCTCCAATCAAAAGTGTGCCGATGAAAACAGCACTTCCCGGTATTGCACGAGACCCCTACATAACACTAACCCCCAGGTATTGATTTTCACCAGCCAGTCTCCCCCCATCAAGCGTGCTTCTCCCCTCTCCCCCTGGCAGCACTGAGGTGATGCCCGCCAAGGACTACTAACTAGCGGCACATGAAGACTTCCTCTGCCCGAAGGAAAAGAACTCAGCATGTAAGTTTTTAAACGTCAGCTGAGAAAACGTTCACACGGGATTTGCAAATATATTAGATAAAATAGACAGGAATGGGTTGGGCCGAGTGGAGCCTAACGCTAACCGACACAAAAGGTTAAGGGAAAACAGAATCAGGGAGCATCCGAGGGAGAAGGCTCGCAGGAGACACGGATACTAGGAACTGAGATGTGTCCCCAGTCATTAAGAATGCACGAGTTATCAGTCTTGCACGGGCGAGGTTCCAAACACCGAGCGGAGAGAGGAAGAGCGCTTGGTTAGGCTCCAGCACCGAGGTGTGCCGGCACCGCCGGCCGAGCGGGGCGGGAGGAGAGGAAATGACGAGCCAGAAAGGGGTGGTAACGGCGGCGGGCCGGAGCCCGGGCTGGCGGGCCGGGAGGAGGGGCGCGGCGGGCGCACTAACGGCCCCGGGGTGGGTCCCAGAGGCCGCGCAGCGCGTCCCCGCCTGGCCTCGCTTCAAATCTGCCGATCCAACCGCCTCGGGGCTCAGGGGACACGGGCCTCACCGGGGCCCGGAACGTGGGGACACAAGGACGGGTCGTAGGATGAGGCTGGAACGACGCGGGGGAACTGCCACCGCCCGCCCACCTGCCCTCCCTGGACCCGAGGGTCGGGGAGCAGCGGTGCATCGCCACCCACACCCCGAGAGGATCCGGACCCCGAGGAGCCTGGCTCCAGGGCGCCATCCCCACGCTGGACGACCCCCTCCCCAGGCCTCCGCAGACTCCGAGCCGGGGCTGCCGGCTCCCCAGCTCCGGCAGCCTCGGCTCGACTCCCGGGCTCGACGGACGCCTGGGCCTCTCCTGAGTGGTCAGCGAGACCCGCCAATCGGGGCGCTGGGGCCGGCTCTGGGCCGCTGGATATTGGCTCCTCATACTCACCGTGCCTCGCTCCCCCGGTTCGCTGCCCGCGCTGATTGGCTCCAGTACCGGACCCCGAAACCCAATCAGAGGCTCCAGCCGCCGCCGCCGCCGCCACTGCCGCTGCCTCGCAAAATGGCGAATCTGAACAAAGAGGAATCGGGCCTCCCTCCAACCGCCTTCGCGCAAGCGCCTTCGAGACCACGCCCCATAACCCCGGCCAATCTGGCCCCGCCCTCGAGGCAGCGCCGCGCAGGCGTCCCAGGGGCCACACCCACTTCCTGGATTTGACCCCTGCCTTCCGCCCGAGGACTACGCAGGCGCCTTCTAGAGGCGCCAGACTCGTCCTCTCAGACGCCGCCCTGGGTGATACACTACGCAGGCGCTAACACCTCCCCACACCACCTATTTTTTTGTTTTCCAACTGCCCACCCGTTTCTAAGCGGCCACTGGGACACACCCCCTGGGGCCAAACGCGCAAGCGCTCCTCTTCTCAAATCGGGGTCGGCATCTTGGTACGCATGTCTGAGCGGCGGCGGGAGACTACGGAGTTTACCGCCGGAAATTCTGAAGCCTTTACCATAGAGAACGGGCTCAGCTCGCTGGCTAGAGAGGCTCGCTTCCGCCCCGCTCGGCGGTGGGGGCGGCCATCTTGGGAGCGTGCAGTCGAGGTCCTTGGCGGGATTGGTTCTGCGTCGGGGCTCTTCCGTTGCCTCCCGCCCACCAGGGTTTCGTCTCAAACCTCTCCCTGCGTGGAAGAGGAGGAGGAGGGCCTGTGACGGCCGGCTCCTTTGCAGGTGACTCCCGCACGCACGCGGCTGTGGGGTCCCAGGACTGACCCTCCTTAGGGTAGGGGGAGAGAATGGGGAGCGCTTTTGGACTTCTGCACCCCTGGGAGAGATGCTGATCTTTCCCCGCTCAGCACGCCTCAGTCTGATTGCAGCTCCACGGGACGGTGGCAGCGTCCCTCCCATTTTCTTCTAAGCCATATCCCTCTGGGAAAAATGCCACACCATCCCATCCTAAGTCGACCCTGCCAGGGGAGGGTTTGGAGTAAGGAGGTGTGTCTTGGGACCACCTTTACTTCCGCTCCTGGAAAGCTGTGCCTTGCGCCTGTTGAAGGCGGTGTGAACTCACCTTCAGAGATGAAGGCGAGGGCGTGGGGGAAACTAAGTGGGTTGTCAGGGTGGTCCGACCATGCTGCCTGAGCGTTTTTACTTGCCTTTCCTTTTCATTGGCAGAAGAAACTCAATTCTGGAAATAGCGACTCAGTACCATGGCCAGCCGTCTTGATGACGATCCAGAAGGAAGTCGAGTGCGTGACAGCTATTAAACGTATCGGTGAAGCGAAATTCAGAATAATTGTGGTCAAAAGCATAAACACTTTCTAATTAAACCAATAATTGGATTGTCGCCGCGGCCTATGCCCCCCCCCGTTTGTTTCTCACTATCGGGTTTACTTAGGAAAGGCTAATACAATCCTAGGCAGAGATCATCCATCACTTTCCTTTTACAGATGCTTTAATATATGGTGGTTAATTCTGTAAGATGGGAAGGTTTGGCTTTAATTCAGAGTGATGAGAGGCAGGGAAGAGGTTGGGGGGCTCTGTTGAAGATCTGAAAGAAGCAATCTTTTTCTGTTTTTAACAAGCTTTCTCTTTGCCTTTGCACATTTTAGATCACTTACGTGAAAGGAGATCTTTTCGCATGTTCCAAAACAGACTCTCTAGCCCATTGTATCAGTGAGGATTGTCGAATGGGCGCTGGGATAGCTGTTCTCTTCAAGAAGAAATTTGGAGGGGTGCAGGAGCTGTTAAACCAGCGTGAGTTTGAGAGTGTTGATCCTAGCCTGCGACACCCTGGCTGGAGCGTGGTGTGGCCTTCCATTACGCTGTGTACACGTGCACGCAAAGAGATTCCTAGCATGCTTTTAACTTCTCAGTGCCCTTTTAGTCTCCTCACAAGAATGGCCTCTGGTTTGGATCTTTAACACATCAAATCAGAGTTCTTGTAAGTTTCCAGTCTTTTGTGTGTGTGTGTGTGTGTGTGTGTGTGTGTGTGTGTGTGTGTGTGTGTGTGTGTGTGTGTTCATAGTGTGCTGATACATGTGTGGAGGAGGCTAGAGGTTCACACTATCTGTCTTTCAGCACAGAGCTTGCCCATTTAGCATGAGCTTGGTTATCAGGTCATCTGTTTTCCCAATTTGGGATATACAGTGTGTACCCTGACACCCAGGTTTTATGTGGGTGCTAGGTATCAAATTCAGGTTCCCATATTTGTGCAGTTAACACTTTACTGATCACTTCATCTCCAAACCCTCAAAAAATTTCTTCCGAAGTATTTCACTTGTCTCAAACCTTTGGTTAGCTGAAGGTCTTATCAATTTCCTTCTGTGTTGCTTGGAGGTCAAGAGCCTGTACTATTATTCTGTTTGCTCTTTCTTAAAGGCAGAGTCTCATTGTGTAGCCCAGGCTAGCCTGGCACTTGCTGAGTAACCTAAGCTTGTCTTGAACTCCAAGCAGTCCTCCGGGCTCATTCTCCTGAATGCTGACATTACAGGCATCAGCCATTCTTCAAAAAGTAGTTTGTACCGGAAGCGGTATCAGACACCTCTAAACCCAGACACCTCTAATCCCAGTGATCAGGATATGGGGTGGGGGTGGGTGGATCACTGTGAGTTTGAGGCCAGCCTGGTCTACATAGGGAGTTCCAGGCCAACCAGGGCTATGTACTTAGACCAATGGAGACTAGTTTGGAAACCGCTTCTTTACAGACCTCTCCACCACTGGTAGACACCCTCTACCAGTGACTTCAAATCAGACCTATGCATTACAGTAAATCTGGAGTTCCTGAAATAATTTCTCAGACCACACTTCAGGCCCATCCGTCTTTAGAACAGCTACTTCTCCAGACTTCTAAAATAATAACTAAGGACTTTAAGAAATGTTTCTCATAGTTGGGTAGGTGGATCTCTGTGTGTTTCAGACCAGCCTACACACACACACACACACACACACACACACACACACACACACACACACACACACACACACAAAGATCTTGTTGAATGAACTGTTGGACAGATTTTGAATAGTGGCACATTCTAAGACAATTTTAAGACAGTAAACTAACATTTTTTAAGTGGGCAGGTGACAGTGCATTTGAAATTGGAATAGGTTTACTCAGGTCTATAATAACGTTTTTATCATAAGTGTGGAAATGGATGCTTCGGTTTCCTTTTTCCTATTAAATAACTGTTTTTCTTAGAAAAGAAGTCTGGAGAAGTGGCTGTTCTGAAGAGAGATGGACGATATATTTATTACTTGGTAAGGCGGGTCAAATCTTCATACCATATAGATTGGCAAATGAACATCCCTGTGTTGATCACAGTGCTCTATCCTAGACAGCAAAGAATGCCAAACAGCTTTCAATTTGACACCAGCTCAGCTCCAGAGGAGCAGGCTGCTGGGAGCACGGAGTTGGGCACACCAAGCCGCTCCACAGCTCCATGGTGAGATCACTGTGCCGTCCACCACAGGCCTGTGGTCCAAGAGTCTTAGTCACAGTGAAAGGAGACCTTGTCTCAAGAGAGATTTCCCTGAGGGACTTTATGTCACATGCAGAGCCACAGAATGCCCTGCTCCTCTCCTGGCTGCTGTGGGAATGTGGGATTCTTTACCTTCCTGGCCATCTTTGGCCCCAGAAGAGGTGTGGCTTCTTTACAGCCTGTTGGGGGTGATTTAGAGCCGACCCACTGCAAACCTTTTCTGGTCTTCAAACAAAGTCGGGAGATCACTATCCTGTGAGTGCTGTGCTAAAAGCCTGGAATGAGGGTCCGTTAGCAAAACTACCACTTACTGCTTCCTTTGTGGGGAAACAAAAAGCTAGGCAACATGATTTCTAAATGAGCAGACTTAGGGTCGCTCAGGCAGCATGGCACCTTGACACAAGTGTGCCACCTGTCTGCAGATTTCACCACCTTGCTTAAGTATGGCAATAGGCACAGCTTTCCTGTGCTGGCTGTGGTTTTCCTTGTTACAGGGCGGGGTCTGCTTCTCAGTCATTGGTGGATTTTCCTGTGGCTGCAAGACATTGTCATCCCTGCTCTAGACAAATTCAGTGACTTAATCTTTTTAAAAAGTACTTTAGTTTCAGGATGTAGAGGAATCTGGCAGCTTCCTCACTGACTACTTTTTTGGGAGGTGGAGCTAATGAGAGTGAATCCTTTCTTTTTGTGTTCAGATTACAAAGAAACGGGCTTCACACAAGCCAACGTATGAGAACCTGCGGAAGAGCTTAGAGGCTATGAAGTCCCATTGTTTGAAGAATGGAGTCACTGATCTCTCCATGCCCAGGCAAGGAAATCCAGGGTCCTAACTGAAGAGTGAATTGATTGGTGAGGTTTAATCTCTAACTTGCAGGCCAAGCTGGGAGTATGGATGTAAAGGTAGACATACCCCTGCTCTACAGAGCTCCTACCAAGTGACTGTGAGGCCATACACACCTGCCTCAGCTCTGTGGGGTGAGCCCTTGGCATAGAGACACTCATGTTGAATGCTTGAATTGTGTTGAAGTGCTGGCCTATGCCCCTGAGGCAGTGGAGACTGAGCAGGTGCAGCTCCTTTTGGGAAAGTTGTCAGTGACCTCTGCATTTTATGCTGCAATGGATAGCAGTCAGGATCTGTCCCTTATGTCCCTTTGAGGATGTAAATGACATCGGGTGTTCAGTGACCCTTAGTTTCCTCAGGAACTGGTCCATACCCTTTCTCTCTTTATTACCCTAGTAGTTTTCAGACAATACTGACCAGGCTCAAGAGACTTTGGGTGTGACCACAACACACACACACACACATTTTTTTTTTAATGTGCATTGGTCTTTTGCTTGCTTGTGTGTCTGAGTGAGCGTGTCAGATCCGCTGGAAGTGGAATTACAGTCAGTTGTGAGCTGCCATGTGGATGCTGGGAACTGAACCTGGGTCCTTTGGAAGAGCAGCCAGTGCTCTTAACTGGTGAGCATCTCTCTAGCCCATCATCCCTTCTTTAATATACTCATGGCTCATGTGTCAGAAACCGTTTTTTGTTTTTTAGACAGCTCTTCTTGAGAAAGTTGAATGTCTTGCTGTCAGATGAAGTTAGCGGTTTGTCCCTAGGGCTGTGTCATAGCAGAAGAAAAGAGTCAGATGGGAGAGCTTTACAGGCTGCCCAGTGGGCTGTGAAGATCTCACCTGGGCCACAGGCAGCATTTCTGGGCATTCCATTTTTGACTCGTGTGCAAAGGTTCCCCACTCCATTGCATCCTCCTTAGCATCCATTATTGTGTGTTTTAAATGTGTGTACATTTTCCCATCCGCTGAAATTAGTTTTTGTCACAAGAGGGCAGCTCGGCTAGTGCCTCGTGTCAGAATGAAATAGTTAGAAAGTAATAAATGATTGGAAAGCAAGGAGATATGACAGCCATTTAAGAACTCTCGTGGCTTCACAACAAGAATCAACTATGGATTCGTCATTGTGGCTGCCTGTAGGTGTGAGCTTTGGATAGAGTCTAAAGGAAGAGGGAGGAGGAGCGGTCTCCTAAATACTTCTGTCATAACCAGTGGAAGGGGTTTGTTTTTTCACAGTTGGTCTTAACCAAAAAGCCAGGGAAAGATGAGATGTTTTCTTCTGTTTTCAGGATTGGATGTGGTCTGGATCGTCTGCAGTGGGAGAATGTGTCTGTGATTATTGAAGAGGTGTTTGAGGCAACAGACATCAAAATTACCGTGTACACACTCTGAACAGATGAAGATTTTGGATGAGCCCATGGTCTCTTGTGTTTTCTCTACTTGGCTGTAGGACTAAGCAACTGTAGGACCTTAAAATGGGCAGAGGACAATGTGTGAGGGAATGTGTGTCCCAGGCCAGGTGTAGGCTTCTCTGTTCCAAGAAGACTGGAGGGCGCTGCGCCCCAGCAGTGTGGCCAGAGGGTGAGGCCTTTCACCAGGCCAAGTAGCCACTGTGCCTGTTTTGCTTGTCTGCTACTGGATTTGTCTGGCTGGCCGCTAGGTGGCAGCGTTGATTCTATTTCTCTTGTTCTTAAAGAGCCTGTGGGAGAGGTAAACTGTCTTTGGCATCCGTCTTTTGTGTTTGTGCACTTGGTGCTAGTCTGATGTCATGAAATCATCTTAGGAATGGGTTATAGTTGTTTTGTTGTAGTTACACATGTAGGTCTCCACTGTCGTCAGGGAGTTGGTGGGGACCGGAGTGGGACAATAAACCTTTCTCTTGGGTTCACTGAAGTTTGTGCACACGCACATCTGTGTTCTGGGTCTTGGGGACAGGTTAACCCTGTGACAGTTTTGAAGAGCCACAAGGTAAGAGGTGTGGGCAAGTGTTGTGTCCACCTGGTTAGAAGGCTGGGCTGGAGTGTGTGTGGGGCCCTCTGCTGTCTGCTGCACAGTGGACACGATTGGCCATGTCTGTTTAGTCAGGAGGCCACTGAAATAACTGTAAAGACTCGGGCAGGCAGGGTCAGGTTCAGTGCGCCTGCCTCCCTACAAGATGGTAATGTGCAACTGACTGGATCTCAGGAGCACCACAGTGATTATTGGTCTGGGAGCGGCGGTGGGGGTGGGGGGATAAAAGCCTATGCATTTAGTCAGTGTTCTGTTATTAGAGCTGTTGGGAAAACTAGGAACCCTCCCACCCACTATGGTCATACTGAAAGGTTGCACAGCCACACATAGGCAGCTTTACTCTAGTGTGAATGCTGGTTGCTCAGGGATGGGTGAGTTTTCTGGTGTGACAAAAAAAAACAACTAAGTTTTACAGAAGGCTTGTGGGAACCCGGGAAAGCACTGGTGACACAATCTTGGTACTTGAGACGTGCGTTCTTATCACACTGCAGACTGATTAGGAGGCAGAAGTTCAGAATGGGTTTCACTTTTGTATCTGGGAACAGACAAGTTCTATATGTCGCTGTGGGGGAGGTCGTTACAAACCTAGACCAAAGCTTTTACTGGAACCTTCTCTCGGGTGATAGGCAGAAGACGGTCTTACTTCACTCTGGTAAATCTTTGCTTCCTTTCTCTACTGTGGATTCAGTCTGTAGCCTTTCACATGAGACTGTCCCTCTTCCGAACCCCACCTCCAGTCCCTACGGAAACATCGTAATGCTTGGTCACACCATTAGCTCCTTTGCTTTTAGGGGGATTATAGTTCATAGTTAATTTTTGCCAGGGAGCCTGAGTGACTGTTGGTGACATCCTGGCCTTGGTGGGGATGTGTTTACGTGCCTTGGGGTCAAATTCCAGTGATTCATTCCATGTGAAGCCTGGGGAAGGAGACATGGCCTGATAACAGAATGAACACAACCTTCTTGGAAACCCAGGTGGAGTCTGGCTGCCACCCAGGCATGTAAGTGACTTTGTTTCTGCAGAGCACTCTGCACACCTTTGGGGATATGACACTTGCCACCATCCTGTCATGGTTTCCAAGTGCTACTTTTCGGAATCTCACTATGTCTGACATTGACTTGGTACTTTGGACCCTCTCTAGTGAGATGGAAATCGCTTACTCTTTGGCCATCAAGGTGTGGATATCTCATAGAACTCTGTGAGCCTTGTGACCCCCCATATTAAATCTTCAGAGGAAAGGAAAAGCTACCATTTACAAAAACCCAGGAGAAATATTTCCTTTATTTTTTCAGTAGTGTTGGGATGGAATGAGGGCCTTGCATAGGCAAGTCCTCTACGGGCAAACCAAACCTCCTCCTCCTCCAGGGAGAAATACACGTGCGGCTCATGGCATGCACATGGAGGCAAGAGGACCAATCATGGCTTTCCTCACCTTCCACTCTGTTTGAATCAGAGGCCCCTGGTTGCCACTGTGTATACCAGGCTGGCTGGCACATCTCCCGGGATTCTCCTCCATCTTTTAGTGTGTGCTAAGCTTACAAACTCATGGTACTGCAACTTGCTGTTCATGGGCTCTTGGGCTTGCAGTAGCAGCTTTATACATTGAGGCACTGCCATCTCCCCAGCCCTCAGGAGAAAATAATTTAAGGTCAAGATCAATGGTGAGAAGTCAGCCTTGGAGAGTTGGTTCTTCATTGTCAAGACCTGGCTTTATCTTGCTAATGCCATGGCCTAGTTCTTAGCCTAAAATATCCCTGTGCCCAGGATCCACTCACTGTCATGGGAACTTTCCATTGCCCAGCTTTCTTAGAAGGACAGGCCACAAAAACCACACTATTTCTTTTATTTATGATGCTATTTTGCCTTTAAAAAAAATCAAAACCAACAACAACCACCCAGCCCAACTCAAAACACTTTCTGGATGTATTTTGAAGGTTTGTGCCTTGAATCTGAGGATCTCTGTCTCAGGCAGCCCTGAGGCGGCAGTAAGACCCTCTACCCCAGGTGTCTGGTGCCCACATAGAGTTGCTTCTCTTGCCTTCATTTCCCTTTCCCCCAATAGCCACATTACAAAAGGCATGGTTGAATGAATGACAGCCCAAGGTGTGCTTCGAGTTCTCTGAGGAGGGCCTTGCCCGTACAATTGTTTGGTGTCAAATGTTCAACTCCAGGTATAATTGGGAAGACAGGCATGTCCTGGATGCCATCCATGTCACTGCTTCTCTGCTGGCAGCCGGCAGACCTTCATGGAAAACAAAAGCATGTTACCTAGAGCCTTATCGACCCCCAATAGCCAACCCTCTGAGCTAACTAAGACCTCTTTGTAGTTTCCCTAAAGAGACCCTGGCTGTTTCCTCCGGGGCCTCCCATGGTTCCTGGCTGAGCTAGGGTTAGGATTGTTTCCTTCCTTGCTTTGGTGTGGTTACAACAGTCCTGGGAAATGTGCTTGGATTCTGTTCTCCTAAGCTGAATATATGGTACAGAGATTCCGCTTTGCTTTGCTTGAGACGGGTCTACTGCACAGCTTTGTCTGGCCTGGAACTTCCCCCCAGATGAGGCTAGTCTCAAACTCAGAAAGCTGTTTACCTCTGCCTCCCATGTGCTGGTCTGCCAGTCTTAAAAGCAGATGAAATAAGAGACATTTACTTAATGGATGCTTCCTAGTGAACTTTAAGAAGGACTTTCTCTAGGGTCATTTGGACTCAACCATAGCTTTTTTGTTACATTTGACCTTCCCTTGGGAACTTGGCAGACTCACAGGTATGCACAGGACAGTGTGCTAATAGGTCCAAGCATACTGGTCCTATCTGTATACATTTTCTTTTTAAAATTACATTTATTTATGTGTCTGGGGGGGGTGCGTGCATGTTTGGAGGGTGAAGAATACCTTTCGGGAATCAGTTCTCTCTACTATGTGAGTCCCTCGGATCAAACTCTGGTCTTCAGGATTGGCGGCAGCACCTTCACTTGACGAGCCATCCAGAGGATTTTAAAATAAGCTGGCTTAGACAAGTACTTTGCTTTCATACTCGATTATTTACTGAGTATCAGCAATCCCAGATTAAAACTTTTTGTTTGTGAAATCCATCGTCTTAAAGAAAAAAAAAAATCCCTGAAGACTTGCTAGTTTGCTAGCTGGCAGAAGTGGCCTGTAAACATCTTCAGAGGGGCTGGCTAGATAGCTCAGTCAGTTCAGGCTCCTGCTACCAAGCCTGACACCTGAATTCCCATCCCCAGAACCCACGTGGTGGAAGCAGAGACCCAACTCTGGCAAGGTGTCCTCTGACCTCCACAACACATGCCCCCTCCCACACACAAATAAGTCAAAGTTAAATATAATTTTATAAAGAAGCGTGGTATTCAGCCAAGCACTGAACCAAACTCCTGGAATCCAGTTGTAGAGAGGGAGAAGTGATGAGCAAAGGGGTCAAGACCATGCTGAGGAAACCCATAGAAACAGCTGACCTGAGCAAGAGGAAGTTCATGGACCCCAGTCTGACAGCTGGGGAACCTGCATAGGACTGAACCAGGCCCCCTGAACGTGGGTGTCAGTTGGGAGGCCTGGGCAGTCTATGGGGCCTCTGGCAGTGGAACCAGTATTTATCCCTAGTGCATGAATGGGCTTTGTGAGCTCATTTCCTATGGAAGGATGCTCTCTCAGCCTAGATACATGGGGGAGGATCTAGGTCCTGCCTCAAATGATGTGACAGACTTTGATGAACCCTCATGGGAGGCCTCACCTTCCCTGGGGAGTGGATAGGGGGTGCGATAGGGGATTGGTGGGGGATATGGGAGGACCGGAGGGAGAGGGAACTGGGATTGGTATGTAAAATAAGATTGTTTTTAATTTAAATAAAAATTTATTTTTTTAAAAAGTGTATTTTTATTGCGGAGGTTTTTGTTGTTGCTGCTGTTGTGGTTTTGTGGATAGAGTAGGTAGCCCAGGCTGGCCTATGAACTCTGCAGTCTCTTCAACCTACCTCTTGGTTCTGGGAACACAGGCATATAATAATGTTATTATTGTTGCTGCTGTTGCCAGTGGTGCATGCTAGGCAGACATTTCACAACCAAACATACCCCAGCACAAATCTTTGGACTTTGTAAGCATTCTACCACTGAACTACACCTCTGCCCCAAACTCTTGTTTTCTTTGTTTTTGACTCTTGTTTTGAGACAAGGTCTCCTTAATTAGCCTGAAAATTGTTATAACCCAGCCGGGCTGTGGTGGCGCATGCCTTTAATCCCAGCACTTGGGAGGCAGAGGCAGGCGGATCTCTGTGAGTTCGAGGCCAGGCTGGACCGACAGCCTCCAAAACAATACAGAGAAACCTTCTGTCTCGTAAAACCAAAAAAAAAAAAATTGTTATAACCCAAGATAGCCTCTAACTGATGATCCTCCTGTCTCTGCCTCTGCAGTGTTGGGATTATAGACACATACCGCCATATCCCTCTCTCCCATGAAGACTGCAAAAGAAAGCACCTCAGGGCTAAAATTGCGCCAGTGGTCACCATCCTGGTGAGTCTTCTGCTGGCTATACAATTATTATTGTGGTACCTCCACTAACAAGATTTTTGTTGGAATTGTAAAAGCAAGTTCTGTATTTTCAGGGGTTACCCATGACATCTGTCTTTACTGCTGTCATAACCCAGTGTCCTGTGTCATTTTACGATGTGAACCTACCTCATGACTGCCACAAAGTCTCTTTGTTGTTTTGCTAAGAAGAATAGGCTGAAAGCGTGTCAGCTTGGACAGAAAGATGCTCAGCCAGAGGGGGTCTGAGCACCCCACATGTATGCCTAATAGCCAGCACCTGCCAACACGCAGCCCCGGAACATGGAGATTTCCAGAATGTGGCTGTGAAGCAGCATCGTCTCTCAAGGAG